CTACACTGAAAATAAGATTCTTTTCCATTCTTAGCTGTAATTGCTGAAAGCTCAAGTAATAGGCTAAGATAACATACAAGGAGTAAAACCTTATGACTCTATCATTCAGTACTGAAAGTTCCTCTAAGAGACTGCACTTCTTCCCCCCCACCTCAAAAACAGCCCTGAATCAAGCCTGGCCTGCCCACTTCAGCAACACTAGCCCAGCTACAGACCAACTTCCCAAAAACACAGATATGGGACAACTTACGTACAGTACAACTTTGGAGAGGTCACAAATCACCTATTCCATTAGGAGTGGGGTGAAAATAAAATACAACATCTAAAGCTTGGACCTTATTTACTGATCACAAAGAGAAAAATAAATCATTTTTCCAACTGTCCAAGCACAATTTGGAGGTCTCTGAAAATGTGCAAAGAAATACCATAGGACCAGCTCAGTTTTAAACTTTGGAATATAATGAACTATGGGGTTTGTATAAGGCTTTGCCAAACACTTTTCAATACACTGACTCATTAATCCCTTGTGACAACCATTTGAAAAGGTATGAGTTAGATCTTTCCTCCTTATATTAAAATGAGGAAACCCAGACTAAGAGAGATTCAAAAGCTTATCAAGGACCCAGCTAGAAAGTAAAGTTATCCCTTGGCAGATAAGATATTCTGATTTCAAACTGATGCTCAGATGTGGCCCTCAATCTTTGTCCATCATTTAAACATCTTTATTCCTTAAGATTATAGTAAATTTGTCATTTGTATTAAGCACTTGGGGATGTCCTACAAATCAAACCATATGTCATGGGTTAAATCATGTTTCCTATATTTGTCACACTCACTAGGACACTATAATCCTATTTATAACATGGTTCTTATCCTGAAAATAGTACAGTGGTATCTTATCCTTGAAAATAGTACAGTGGTCCCAATGGTCAGGAATGGGTATGAACAGGATGTTTCAGTTATCTGAACAGTCTCAGTAACTGACGCCTTACATGCAGTTGAATTAACAATTTTCAAAGAGCTGGAAGCAATGTAATTCACATAACACTAAAATAACTTAGAACAATTTAAAGATAATTTACAGACATAGGTCCTTCAGGATATGTCTAAAGATTATGAACTGCAATTATCCCTGGACAGTACTATAACTATGGAAGATACAGTAGATTCAGATATACTTATACTGAACCTGGCAGTTGCCTCTTAAAAATCCTAATAAAAAGAGATTACATTATAATTTGCCTTTTCCTGAGGGTAGTGCACCAAAAAAAAAAGGTATTGGGTTATAGGATATGTATAGATAGAATCCAATCTAGATAAAAGAATGCTTACTTTAACATGAGTTGGAATATTCACCATTCCATACAAAATCAGACAGTTGTTGAAATTCCTTTTAGCAAATGAAACTCTAAAATTCAATGAATTTAAATTAAATCCACTAATCAGAAAAGTATTTGATCATCTGCATCAAACAGATCTTTCTTACTGTTTTAATCTTACACATATTCTTCCCAATTCATGGATGAATCCAATGTGTTTGATATTTGATTTTTATACTCTGATAGTAAAAGAATAATTTTGATTCTTCAGATTACTTCCGCAGCTACATAAGGAAAAGTGAATAATGGTTTACTGATACTTATGAAGTCATCTGAAAAGAACTGTCCAATGAACGGATGAACATGGGTATGAGAGGATCATTTTTTTCAACTTTCTATTACTGACTTTTCATATTGTTTCCTATTTGTACTCTTTTATTACACTAAAATAACCAACAAGCTCTGACTACTTTTTCAGCAATTCCTATGTACAATTCCTATATTAAAACAAAAAAGAACATGTCATTTAAAGTTTTTCCCACCAGCTTTAACTATGACATGTAAGCACTGTTTTTAAAACCAAATAGTTAACAAATAATATGCATATTTTATCCACTCTACATAGGAAAGCAAAGTTGAGCTATAGCTAACTCAGTCTTTAAGTTCCATTTAAGGGCTGAATGTAACTTCTGATATCATAGAAGAAAGAAAAATGAACGAAGAGATCTGAAGAGCAGTATGCAGCCTGGACAACATAGTGAGACCTGTCTCTACAAAAAAAAAAAATAATAATAATAATAATAAATATCCTGGCATGGTAGCGTGCACACCTGTAGTCCCAGCTACTGGAGAGGCTAAGGTGAGAGGATCACTTCAGCCTGGGAAGTGGAGGCTACAGTGAGCCGTGATCATGCCACTGCACTCCAGCCTGGGTAACAGAACGAGACTCTGTCTCAAAGTAAAATAAAGAGCAATATGACCAAGCTACATGTGAAAGATTTGGGAGTCAAAAAGTTCTACACTTTGCTCTCCAATATGGTAACCACTAGCCACAAGTGGAAATTACAAGTAAATAAAACTTAGGCCGGGTGCGGTGGCTCATGCCTGCAATTCCAGCACTCTGGGAGCCCGAGGCGGGTGGATCACCTGAAGTCAGGAGTTCATGACCGGCCTGGCTAACACGGTGAAAACCCGTCTCTGCTAAAAAATATAAAAATTAGCCGGGCATGGTGGCAGGCGCCTGTAATCCCAGCTACTCGGGAGGCTGAGGCAGGAGAATCGCTTGAACCCAGGAGGCGGAGGCTGCAGTTAGCCGAGATCGCGCCACTGCACTCCAGCCTGGGAGACAGAGCGAGAATCCATGTCAACTCGCCAGGCGGAGGTGGCAGTGAGCCGAGAATGCGCCACTGCACTCACTCTAGCCTAGGCGACAGAGCGAGACTCCATTCCAAAAAAAATAATTAAACTGTTGTTTCTCAGTCCACTAGTTACATTTCAAAGACAGTTATATGTGCCTTGTGGCTGCTAAACTGGACAGCACAGACAGAACCATTTCCAACACTTAAGAAAATTCCATTGGATGACACCGTTGGTAGCTACGTGATCTTATGCAAGTTACTTAATTTCTGTAAATCTCAATGCCCTTATTTGTAAAGTGTGCATAACACAACCTAAATCGAAAGACTATTAGAATTTTAATGAGATAATGTATAAAAGCACAGGAATTAGTGCTTAGTACACATCAGATATCCCAGAAAGGAGCTATTAACACAATCCTGTATTAAACTTTCGTCTATAATGGTGACCCTCGACAAGTCACTTTCCCTTCCGGGGCCTCATTTTCCAAACTGACAAGTGTGGGAAATTCTTCTAGTTAGCTTCTAATGAACCTATCAATCAAATGCTACCAGGTTAAATAAAGTATTGAGCAAAAGGAGCACAAACTCCTACTGAGTAAACTGTTACCTAGGCTCCAAGAGCCTAGAGCTTCCTCACAGATCCCAAGCATTCTTCAAGAAACCCCAGAAGACTGGCTCTCCAATATAACCCATCGTCTGATGTGCGCTATTTATAAAGTCTGTCTTAAAAGATTACCGGAATATCTTTCTGAAATTGTGTATACTGTAATTAGAAGCTACAACCTCCTATTTCATGATGAGATCCTGCAGTTTTAACATCTTTTAAATGAACACTATCTTTACAGATGAATTTTTTTTTATCTTAAAGTCATTTAAACCACAACACTTTAAAAGCACGTGAGTTTAAAAACAATTTTGTAATGACTGATTTTTTTTTTTTTAAATCAACTATGCCTCATTCTCAGTCAGCCTGTGGGTGCCCCTCTGGTATCTAAACAAAGTGAGAATTGTACCTTCATGGGTGAGGTCCTTTCGCAGGGCCAGAAACATGCCCAAAGACTTTATCCTCGTTAACAGCTGCTCCCAGGGAGCCAGGAAATTTACTGATCCAGTAAATTTCAGAGTCAGCCTCCAATGAGGGGGAACCAAGGGCCCCCACAAAAGGCACAAAACCAGCGCTCCCGGCTGCTATCCACTGTGGGGCGTTGCCCAGGCACCTAGGGTCACAGCTTTAACTTAGGGGTGGAGGAGCAACTCCGGCAGCAGAAATCATTACAGAGCGAAGCAATTTTGCCCAAGGCCTGAAGCCTCAAAAAAAAAGTGTTATTCCAGAGCAGATTCCTTTTCTTCCGGGTCTGTCTGCTCCTTCTGACTCTTTGCCCACAACCACCGTGCCTCCCCATTCTCAATGCCCCACCTCCTGCCACATTTATTTAAAAAAAAAAAAAAAGAACAAGGAGGAGGAGGAGGAGAAGAAGAAGGAAGGAAGGAAGGAAGGAAGGAAGGGAGGGAGGGAGGGAGGGAGGGGAGGGAGGGAGGGAGGGGAGGGAGGGAGGAGGAAGGAAGGAGAGAGAAGGAGAAAGAAAGAAAACGATTTTAAAAAGCATATTCCCTCTCCCTTAGCTTTCCCTAGGAAGGCCTGGAAACTGGAGGAAATTCAAATCAAATTAGTTGCACATTAAAAAATAAACAGACAAGCAATCAGGAGGTGCCCACCCAACAAAAGACCTCACCCGTTCCAAAATATGATTAAGCCTGGGAGGGAAGAGGGGGAGGGGGACTAGAAACCAGCAGGGATGGAGAGATAAACCTGTGGATTTTTGGCCCCAGCGTTGACCCATTGCGGCCAAATTCTAAATTTTGTTTAAAGAAAATGCTGAGTTGAGGAGAAAAGAAAATAAAAAGTTATAACTTTTAAGGAAGTCTGCAAACGGCAATGTCTGAATAAAATGCCATTGCTTCCCTTCGTCTGGGATGGCAGGGTGGGAGCTGAGATTCCAAAAGCTCCAACTCCGACCGCGCACTCCTGGAAGCCTCCCCGCCAAAGGCGCCGCCGGGCGGCGCAGCCCAGTCTCCCGAGACGGCGGGTCCGGGTCCTCTGGCTCCCACGGGACGCCAGGACCCGGACCTCTGGGAAAGTTCGCGGGCACAGCCCGAGGCCCCACTTTCTGCCGAGAGTGACAGGCCCTTCCCACGCCTGCCGGCCCCAGCCCAGCCGCGGGCACCAGACGGTCCGCGCGGCCTCTCCTGGCCGCCTCGGGGAGCAGATTCCGCCCGCCCGCCCCACCCCCGGCCGAGGCGCCCCTCGGGGTGACGGACTGACCGGAGCTCCGCTGGCCCACACACCGGGTCGCCCGCTCCTTCCCGCCGCGCCCCGCTCCCCCGCCCCAGCTTCCAGCCGCCAGGCTCGCCAAGTCCGGCCGCGGCCGCCGGTTACCGCCCCCAGCCCGGGGGGAGCCCGGGGGGCAGGACGGGGAGGGAGGACGTGGCGCGCTCGGAGGTGGCCAGCAGCGGGGCGGGGAGTGTCCCGGAGAGGCCCAGCCGGGGGCGGGGGAGCCAGGCCGGCGCGGGCTCGGGACCCTCCCCGAGAGCATCCCCGGGTTCGAGGCCCCCGACTGCCCCCGCCGGCGCGGAGAGGCGGCCCCAACTTCCAGCCCCACTTCGCACACCCGCCCTCTTTCCTCCACCATATGGAAATCTACAGCCTCAGAAAGTGACACGTCGAAGATTCCTCGGCCTCGCCGCCCGCCCTCCCCCTCCTGGGCAGCGTTCCTGCCGCGGAGATTCCGGGAGGGGGAGCGGATTCCTCGGACAAAATCTGCTGGGAAGGCTGGGGGTGGGGGGAGGCCGCGAGCCACTGCCCCAATTTTTTTTTTAAGATGAATCTACCCGTTTCTTTCACTCCTGCAAACCCTGAGGCAGGGGGCACAGGCGGGGAACCCGACCTCAGCAAGGCGGGGGCCGCCCCCTCCCGGGTCCCGTGTTCCCGGGGTGCCCAGGCGAGCGCGGGGCGCCCCAGCACTCCGGCGCCAAGTTTTTGCCGGGAAGCCCAGGGCGCTCCCGGGACAGGGACGCACTTTGGCGGACTCGGCGTCAGGCCGGGGCTTTCCAGTGCACCGGACCCGGCGATTGCGCGTGGGGTCCGGGTCTCCTCCAGTTCCCGGCTCCTGCACGCCTTACCTTCCCTAGGGCTGAAACGCGGGGCTCCGGGCGCACCACACACCGGGTCGCCCACGCCTTCCCAGCCGGCAGCCCAAAGGATTCCTGACGCCCCCTTGCTGCTCCCGCCGCCGCCGCTCTCCTCCTCCTCCAGCCGCCGCCGCCGCCGCCGCCGCTCAAATAACTACCAGGAGGGTTTGATGGGGGATTCCGCCATGTCAATGATGTCGGGACCACATGGGGATTTGGGGCCCGCCCACTACCGTAAACCGCCGAGTATACCTGCCGCCACAATCGCAGGCTCGCAGAAGCCGTTGTCCCCGGCCCTGCCTAGTTAAGCAGAAACTCCTTTTGGTTCAGCCAGCCTAAAGAAACCTGACGCTTAGGGAGCTAACAACTCCTGAATGGCGAGGGCTGCCGGTTCTCCAGATCGCCAAAATAATGTAAAGGCAATGTTTACTCACTGATAATTAAGCCTAAGACTGACTTTTTTTCATTTACACATATATTTCCCTTTTTGTTGTTAACCCCCACAGCAACCTTGTGAGCTATATTACTCCCCTATTTCCCACAGCATTTTGTTCATACAGCTAACATAGTATGAGCAAATTTTATTATACTTAAGTTAAAATCTCTATTTCCTCTTTCTTCCTTTTGTTTTGTATTTTGTTGTTTTGGGGACCGCAGGCACTGGGCAAGCATGAGCCACCACACCCTTTTTTTTCTGGGGGGGAGAGTAGAGAGGGGGTCTCAATAGGTTTCCCAGGCTGGTCTGGAACTCTGGAACTCAGGTGATCCTCCCGCCTCGGCCTCCCAAAATGTTGAGATTACAGGCGTGAGCCACGTCAGCCAGCCTTATTTCCCAATGCGTTTCTCAAGGATAGAGACTGTTGCTTACTTTTATCTTTGTATCTGTAAAGGACAAGGACCACAATAGGACTCTTTAAATAACTGTTGAGTTTATATTAAGTCAAATGTAATGTATTTCTGTTGTACAGTCTCGAAGAGGTTAACAGACTGCATCCCTTGCCACCCCTCAAATTACTCAGGAGACAAGAGAGCTAAAGTTAGCCTAGAGAAGCCCCTGCCATCCATAGCTGTCCAGGTATTCTGAATATCAGCCTCAACTATTAAGCTACAAAGGAGCATTCAGGGAGTCACCAGAGACAATGTATTACTTTTGTCAACCTAAAAAAAATAATAACAGTACATAATACTCTATTAAAGTCTAAAGAACACTGAGAAATAGCTCCTTCCCTTGTAAAATTTGCCATTCTTTTGGGGATTTTTTTTTTTTTTTCTTGGAAGCAATGGTGAGCCCAGAGAAATGGGGACCTGTCTCCTAAATGGCTTATTTCCTGTGGAGCTCCTCAAAGGGGAACTTGAAGCAATCCTTCTATAACACAACTCCTTCTATAACACAACTCCTTCTATAACACAATTCTGGGTTATAGTCCTGTATGAGAAGGGTGGGGGGAAAGGCAGTAGTTCCTTAGTGCCAATAGCGTACAGTCCAATAGATCTCATTTGCATCCAAATGCCTTCTCTGACTCCTGACTCTTTGGCTTCCTCAGGTGCCATGCCTTCAGCACAGCTCATCACTCATGGCTCCAGAAGGTACCTGTGTCCCTTTGTATGTGCCTTCCGTCTGAAATATACTTCTTCCCTATTTAAGATCATTTACTCCTTCTTGATCTCCGGCTAAGACTACTACCTCATTTCCTCCCTACAGTCTCATATCTCTTTTCCCCACAATCTTACAATCCTTGTCAGTTCTCACATTGCTCTGAAGTTAGTTTTTTGTTTGTTTGTTTGTTTGTTTGTTTTTGTTTTTTTGTTTTTTGTTTTTGTTTTTGTTTTTTTGAGGCTAGAGTGCAGTAGCACGATAGCAGCTCACTGCATAGTCAAGTTCCTAGGCTCAAGTAATTCTCCCACCTCAGCCTCCCAAGTAGCTGGAACTACAAGTGTGTGCCATCACACCTGGCTAATTTTTGTTTGTTTGTTTTTCAAAGAGACAGGCTCCCACTTTGATGCTGAGGCTGGTCTCAGACTCCTGAACTCAAGCAATCCTCCTGCCCCAGGCTCCCAAAGTGCTGGGATTACAGGCATGAGCCACTGCACCCAGCCTGAAATTACTCTTTTTCTCTTCCACTTGACTGAGTTTTGTTCATGTTTGTATCCCTAGTATCAACCTAGAATTTTGCTTTGAATAGAAGACCCCCTTATGTTTGATGAATGAATTAATTGTAAAGTATGCAGAAGAATCTGAATGACTAGGTCAGTGAGCAAACTTCAGAGTGTGAAAGGTCAAATTCAGGTTGAAGGACAAGCTTGGCAGAGGAGGTAAAAGTAGGCAAGAGAAATTTGGAGGACAAATTTATTTATTCGTGTTTCTTCCACTAGATTGAATTTCTTCTTATTAGGAAGAAAAGAAATCAATGTACATATGATGCTTTATAATTTCACATGCATGTTCATATATGATAGTGTTTCATTCATCTTCTTTGCCCTAACACCTAACACCAGTTTTGGCACAGAAAATAAGCCCATTAAATGTTTGCAAAATGAGAGGAAGTATGGTACAGTGGAGAGAGTATAGAATATAATGAGAGAAAAGTCAGTGATGTTGGGCATAAAGTTCTCTGTACCTGAATTTTCTTATTTGTTAAATTGTGATCTTTAATAAACCTCTGGCCAAGGTTGTATAAAAAACTCAAGCACCTGGTACTCAGTAAATAAATATTGGTTACTCCTTGAATTAATGAACAAATGAGTAAATGAATTAATAAAGATATCTTTCTTAAAAGAATTAATAGGACAGAATTGGAAGCTTCAGAGAAGAAGGTGGAATTTGTGATAGAGGGCTCTCACCTACACTTTGAGGGATTTCGATTTAATACAGTGAGAATACTGTGGGATTATTGAGGCATGAAGTAATTGAAATAGGTTTCAAGGTTATCTTAGCAGCAGGATATAGAACAAGGTTCATGTCAGAGATGCATGCCCTGAACCTACTTTGGAAATGATGAAACTTACACCAGAGTCATGGTTCTGGGAATAGGAAGAAGGACCTCAACCTAAGGCAATGAGTATGACTCTCTGGTGTTGACAACCTGTGTCATCTGCTGCTTTACGTCCCAAATTATGAAACTATAGTCATGGGTAAAACTTTGCTCCAAAAGCAGCTTAAGATTTCCTCAAATACAAAAGTTAACATCCAAATGAAGACGCCTAGAAGTTAAGGCCTATAACAAAATACAGAGACTCTTAAACCCATCTATCACCTGTGCAATGTAGGCTGAATCCAATTTTTGAAAAGATTCTTAGTCATACTTCTTCATCTCCAATACTTTATATCAAAAAATGCAACACTAATGAATAGGAAAGATTGAAAGTATTGAAACTAGCATGAAAAGGTCTCAAACAATTCAACTTTTCTGAACACTTCTATAGTCTAAAATGTTTAAATTTGAAACTCTCTCTCAAAGATCACTCTAACCAGTAACACGTAATACCTACAAGACCCAGCTGCATGCTCAGTTTCAATGTCCTTCTTCTGCCTATAGCTCGAGTTGCTAGGTTCCCAACGCAGGCTCATTTCTGCCCCTACTCTTAAAAACTAGTCTTGACCGCCAGGCATGGTGGTTCATGCCTGTAATCCCAGCACTTTGGGAGGCTGAGGCAAATGGATCACCTGAGGTCAGGAATTCAAGATTAGCCTGGCCAGCATAGTGAAACCCAATCTTTACTAAAAAAAAAAAAAAAAAAATTCACCTGGCATGATGGCAGAGGCCTGTAATCCCAGCTACTCGGGAGGCTGAGGCAGGAGAATCATTGGAACCCAGGAGGCAGAGGTTGCAGTGAGCCGAGATGGCACCATTGCACTCCAGCCTGGGCAACAAGAGTGAAACTCCGTCTCAAAAAACAACAACAACAATAACAACAACAACAAAAAACAAATACTCTTGACCTTAAATAGAAGGCATTAAGGCATTAACTCTTTGCATCTATTTCTTATTCTAATGTCCTGAGCCAGATCTGATACCAGCTTCAGTATGAACACTGACCATAAGCCAATTCATCTGGTTTTAAAAGCAACACTGCCACTTCACTTAGGCACATTTCTCCAACAATTTAACCAGTCACAACTGTGGTTTTGCCTTCTTTTCTATTGTTCAAGGCAAGATAAGCAAATTTTAGCTCAATATTTTATTTAAAGAAAAATACATTTTAAACAAGGAGATCTGTCCCACAGTTACCAGAACTATTTAGGTAGAAGCTGAATGACTGACAGGGCTCTTAAAAATCACAGGTTGATAGACTCCCACTGTCCCTTCCAAAGCAGAAATCTTGGCTCCCATGTCAGTTACAGCTAAGGACCCAGGCTCAGCCCGAACAGCACCAGGGAAAGGAAACCTATTCCTGTGGAGACAGCTTACTATCAACAACTCTAGTTCTAACCCAAGTCTTCTGAAACTGCCTCCTTGTGACTTTCTCCCACTGGTTTTATTTCTGCCCTCTGGAGGCAGACAAAATAACAACACTCACCTTCCACATGACTTCCCTTCCAATGAACTGAAGACACCTGGCATTTGCTCCCTAGAGATTCTCTTTTCCTGAATAAACATCCCTGTCATGCCGAACTCGCCAAAGATCTCTCTTCATCTTTCTTTCCTACCACCTCTGAGGGCCTACTTGTTCAGTATCTCTGAAAGTTTGTGATATGGTTTGGATCTGTGTCCCCACCCAAATCTCATATTAAAATGTAATCCCCAGTGCTGGAGGTGGGTCCTGGTGGGAGGTGATTGGTTCATGGGGGCGAAGTTCTCATGAATGGTTTAGCACCATGCCCCACTTGGTACTGTATAGTCAGTGAGTTCTCAGGAGATGTGGTTGTTTTAAAGTGTGTAGCACCTTCCCCCTCTCTCTCAGTCCTGCTCCTGCCATGTACGACGCCTGCTCCTGCTTCACCTTCTGCCGTGAGTAAAAGCTCCCTGAGGCTTCCCCAGAAGCAGATGCCACCAGGTTTCCTGTACAGCCTGCAGAACTGTGAGCCAATTAAACCTCTTTTCTTTATAAATTACCCAGTCTCAGGTATTTCTTTATAGCAGTACGAGAACTGACTGATACAGTTGGGTATCCAGATTTCACT